CCTGCAAAGCTAAACACAGTCTCACCGTACCATCCAGCACAGTGGTCCTCAACATTTACCCAAATGAGCTGAAAACCTGCACACAAATGTTTACAGCAAGTTATAATTCCCAAAAACTGGAAGCAACCAAGAAGATATCCTTCAAAACGTAAATAAACTGGTGCATCCAGACAATGGAATATTATTCAGCAATAAAAAAGAAACGAGCTATCAAGCCATGAAGAGACATGAAGGAATCTTAAATGTATATTGCCTAGTAAGAAGGCAGTCTGCAAAGGCTACACATTGTATGATTCCAACTATGCGGTATTTGAGAGCAAGCAGAACTATGGAGACAGTGAACCCTAATGTACACTATGGACTTTATTAAATAATAATGTATCAAAATTGGTTCATTAATTGTTACACATGTACCAGACTAACACAAGATGTTAATAACAGGGGGCAGCCTGAGGGGGAGAATTGGGAGCATGTAGGAACTAGGTACTATCTGCTCAATTTAATGTAAGCCTAAAACTGCTATAAAAAATAAAGTCTATTAACTAAAAAAATAAACAAATAAATATTCAACCCAGGAGGAAAATCGGAGAAGACTTAAATGACAGCCTCACGAAAGAGAACAAATGGCTAATAAATATAAGGTCTTTATTAGTACAGAACTGCACGTTTAAAATCAAAATAATCCTCTGCACACCAGAATGGCTAAAATGCTACAGGACAGAGCGAATGCAACTCTCTGACACCGCTGGTAGGAGAAGCGAGTACATTCACTGGAAAACGGTTTCACGGTGTCTGCTATGACCCAGAAATGCAGAAGTTCATAGCAGCACATATATGTAATAGTCCCCAACTGGAAACAACGCAAGTACCCACAGTACAAAGGATAAATTGACAGTACGTTATATGATAGAATAATATACAACTATGTAACTGAACCTATTTCTGCCAAACAGTAAGAGGGATAATCTCATAAAAACAAACACTGAATGAAGGAAGCCAGAAACAAAAGGGTCCATGCTATGAATTCCATTTAGTTTGAAGATGGGTCAAACTGCCCTGTGGCATCAGAAGAGGAGAGTGGAGCACAGAGAGGGAAAGCAGTACTAACTGGGAAGGAACAGAACCCTGGAGATCCTGCCAATGCCTTAGGTGCTGGTTACATATGGAAATTCATGCAGCACACGAAAGTCTATGCACTTCCTCTGGAGATGTTTTGTTCAATTAACATAATTGCTAAAATACAATATTAAAGGTTTCAGAGAAATACACACGTCTGGCTTCTCTTGAAAAATCATAAGCCACAGCAATAATTAAATGCAGCAGAGCAGGAGCACGGCCCCAGACCAGCTATTACCTGTCACTACTACCTTTAACTGACGCACTAATTTGCTTTAGCTGTCTGACCCGTAAACAACTGAGTGTTTGACTCCTGTAGTAAGAGCACACTATCCGCTCACGCGGCTTATTACATAAAGTGTTCATTTTAATCCACTAAGGCAATAGTTTTCAACTCTGCTGAGATTTGGAGGGAAGGCACCTCAGAGGTATGGGCTGTCTGTCTCTGAATCCCTCAGTCTCCTGCCCTTCCACCAGAACTGCTTTTGCCGTGGGCCAGTGGTGTTCAGCCCTGACCATGCAGTGGCCCCACCAGGGACTCTTCAGTGCAGGAATGCCCTGGTCCCACCTCACAGGCTCAGATACAGCCCGCTCATCCGGATCCTTAAAAGCTCCCACAGGTAATTCCATGGTGTTTTGCCAAGAGTGAAAACCACCACTTGAGACCTTGCCGTATTATTTCACGTAGTAAGTTCTAAGACTAAAAAGTAGTTTGAAAAACACTAACTGCGTGAGCACAGAGACATGGCCTCTGTACAGAGAGAAAATATAATGACCCTGACATAGGATAAGCATTATTCTAAAAACTGCTGAATTGACTTTATCTCACAAACAATTATGGTTTTGTACGTTTTCCCGGGCTGTGTTTGTGTAAAAGACAGAGTTTTTTTTTTTTAAAGATTTTATTTATTTATTTGAGAGAGAGAGAATGAGAGACAGAGAGCACGAGAGGGAAGAGGGTCAGAGGGAGAAGCAGACTCCCTGCTGAGCAGGGAGCCCGATGCGGGACTCGATCCTGGGACTCCAGGGTCCTGACCTGAGCCGAAGGCAGTCGCCTAACCAACTGAGCCACCCAGGCACCCGAGATTTTTTTTTTTTAATAAATCCTTATAATGAAATATTTTTCCTTTATTGTGGGAAAGACCAAGATTCTGAACTCCTGTTAACTCACTACTTGATTCCAGGATCATAAAATCTTTAAATCTGATGTGTTACCTAACACACTTTTCTCAAAATACTAAAAAGTCCAAGTCTCTGCCTACCTAAAAAGTTCAAGTATGGAGAATGAAGGGTGCTCCTTTATGAAGAAATCTTTCTGTCCTTGGATACCCAATACTGTTAGAAAGTTATTATTTTAAGCAGAATCTGTCCTCCCCTCGTTTCTGCCAGTAGTTCTGTCTGCTGACGCGAGAGTCACCTTTAAACCTGAGCGCATCTCCTGCCACCTTGTACGCTAAATTCCACGGCTCTTAGCTCATCCCCGCAGTCTAGTCCCCTTGGAGAAAAGCAGAGTTCCTGAATTCACCCACAGCTAAAATAGCCCGAACTGATCATCTGAGCAAGAGAAGACTTGTCTATTCATCTGGCTCAAGGTCAGTTTGTCTCCACTCTCTGAAAATGAAGTATTATAAATATTCCTCTAACAGAAAACAGAAACTTAGCAGGAGGCCAACTAAAGGTACAAGCTCAGGAGAAAAAGTCTGTACCACCACACTGGAAAATACAAATGGAAGCCATATAAGACCATCAAGGTCTCATCACTACTTAGTAAGAGTAAACTCAACTAAGTATGATAGAGAAAAAATCCGATTTCACTCATCTTTCTATCCGACAGTGCCAGGCACCAAGCAAGTGCTCAATAAACGCGTCCCCCACCGACCCCCACAGGAGGCTTCCTTCACTCCAGGAGCCCCCCTGCCCACAGGTGGTGTACTGCCAGGCCCCCGGCGGGTGCCTGAAACCACAGGGTGCTGAACCCTGGCTGTACCGTTTTCTCCTACACATACGTACCTCTCACTGAGCTTAACTCAGAAATCGGGCTCAGTAAAAGATTAACAATAATAATAAAATTGGAACTCTAACAATACACTGTAGAAGTTGGGTGAATGTGGTCTCTCTCCCTCTAAGTCTCTTACTATGCTGCACTCACCCCTCTTCTTGTGATGCCATCAAGTAAGGCACCATGACACAGTGTTAGGCTACTATGACCTTCTGACAACATGTCAGAAAGAGGACCACCTGCTTCCAACCTCAGGGGCTGAAACCTCGGGTACTGGGGGGGGGGGGGGACTACTGTACTTATGTCCTAAGCTGATTATTATTCCAAGAAATGTTTTTCAGTGCCTACTCCTGATGTTTTCTTCAGGTTTCCATTCTGACATCCTTTCCTCTGGGAACCCTAGACTTCAAGCGTCTGCCCTCTGCTGCCACGGTGTTCCCACCATCACAGGACACGCACGGTCCTCAAGAGCCACGGCAGAGATCCTGTTCTGTCGCTGAACTCTGTAACCCAGCCTCTAGCAGTATCCGCCCATCACAGGAAGTGCTTCAACATATTTGTTCAAGAAATTCATTAACCCATATGTAGGGCTCTATATTCATCAAGACAAAATAATAAAATGCACACTTTGGACTCAAATATAGACTCAAATCCCAACTCTGACACTAGCTGGGTGGACCTTCCAAATCACTCACTGAACCTCTCTGAGCTTTATTCCCCCTATCTGTAAAAAGCCCCACCGACCTTCCCAGTTTTTCTTAGGCATAAAATTCATAATGGTAACAGAGAAAACAAAATCATTTCAGGTAATGAGAAGCATTATTAAGACAGTGAACTGACAGAGCAACAGTCCTCAAACATTTTGATCTCAGGATCTTTTTACATTTTTAAAATACAATTGAGGACCCCAAAGACCTTAAGTTTATACAGATTATATCGCCACTTGCCCTATTAGAAACTAAAACTGAGCACTGAGAAACAAACTGAGTTTGTTTTTAAAAACAAACCTATTATATGTTAACGCAAATACACACTTTTATGAAAAATATATTCTCCAAAAAAGCAGTAATAAGAGTTTTCACTTGGGGCACCTGGGTGGCTCAGTCGGTTAAGCGTCCGCCTTCGGCTCAGGTCATGATCCCAGGGTCCTGGGATCGAGCCCCGCATCGGGCTCCCTGCTCAGCAGAGAGCCTGCTTCTCCCCCTCCCTCTGCCTGCTGCCTACTTGTGCTGTTTCTCTCTCTGTCAAATAAATAAAATCTTAAAAAAATAAAAAAAAAGTTTTCACTTTTACAAAGCTTTTTAATGTCTGGCTTAGTAGAAGACAAGTGGATCCTCACGTCTGCCTCTGCATTCTCTCGGTTGCAACATGTTATGTTTTATTTTCCTGCAAGTTATCTTACTTGGAATATATTCAGCATGTTGTTTTTGAGTGAAATGCAGGAAGACAGCACAGCTTCACACAGCCCGGTGGCATGGCCACCCGCATCCGTGCAACGGCGTCAGCAATTTTACCCCTCATAATTTTCGAACCATTGGTGCAAATGTTAACCACGTGAAATAACCAAACAGTATCGCTATGAAAGTATTTACCCGGCAGACCCCTCCAAGTGTCTCCGGGAACCTCACTGTGAGGAAAGGCTTGTCTGTAAAGTTATTTTCAGACAGGTTTGAGGAAGGCCTCTGTTAGGAAGCTGAAGCACTGAGGCCTAAGGAATGAGCAAGAGCAGGTGGATTCTCAGAAAAGGAAGAGCACAAACCTCAATTCACCACAAATGTGGCCTCAACCCGGAACCCAAAGAACCGAATGCTAGAGCAAGGCAAGAGAGAAATGAGCCCTACCCAAGGCCAGATCAATTAGGATCCCGCAGGAATGTGGATTTTACCTTAAGGAATGAGAAATCCTTTGAAGAGTTTCAATCAGGGTGTGGCCATTTCATCTACACTTTAAGGAGCTCCTCCAGGGTGCTGGTGACGGACTTATGGTAGGGCGAGGCTACCGGGGAGCAGTGAGAGGCTCCCACAGAAGTCCCACCCGGAGACAGACCGGCTGGGCCAGCCAGGGGCACCAGACGTGGACAGGGTAGGGCTGGCTGGAAATACACTTTTGAGGCAGAAGCTGCAAGACTAGTTATGAACTGTCTTGAGGAGGAAGAGAAAGAGAATTATGCTTACATTTAGGGCTTGAAAACCCAGGTGAATAGTGACGCCATTTGGGAAGATGGGAAAGATCGGGGGATTACGTTCCCGGCCTTAAGCTGATGCACATTTCCCATGGTCTAGCCTACACCTTCTTCCAAGTAACTGAGAGGCACTGCACTCAAAATTATTTTTGCCAGGAAGCACCTTAAAATAAAAACACTGAACAAAGTAAGGCCAAAGCGGGAGCAGTGAACGGCCTTAGGACCTCCTTGCAGGCACCAGCAGCCCCTAGTCCGGATTCGGAGCAGTTACTCTCCAACTAGGAACCTGCAGACCTGCATTATTCCCCAGCCGACATCTCAGCTCCTGAAAAGCTAGGTGAGGGGTGTCCAGTCCTGCCGAAATTCGTATGCTCCGTATTCTAACATTTCCGGAATTGCGCGTCTGCTCACTGGATGGGCTAGGAGGACTGCAGGAACGAAGCCTCGCTGGGGCCGTCCCGTCAGCAAGTTCGCACCACTTCCTACTCTGCTCCTCGCTCTTCCTAAACGCGAGGAAGGGCAAGATGAACACTCTGATCTGCAGCTCCCACGAGGAACCTTTCCCCGTTCGGGGGAAAAGCAGTGCCGGCGCCCGCCGCCGGGCCCCAGCCCTCCAGGGAGTCCCGCTTCCTCCGCCCGGGGGTCCCCGAGCGCGGTCCCCAGCCAGCGAGGGCCCAAGTAGCAGGAGTCCACGCCCCACACCCCCACCCCCGGCCCAGCGCGCACGCAGCCGCCTCCGCGACCGCCCCGGCCCCGGCCCCCCGATCTCGGCCCCCGGGCCCCCCGTCTCTCCGGCCTCCCGGCCCCCCGCCCGCCCCCGCTGGCCCGCGCGCCCCAGGGCCTCCCCGGGCGCCCCCGCCGGGGCCGCGCAGCGAGCGCGCACTCGGCAGTCCCGGGCCACCGGGCCGAGCCGCGGCGCCTCTCCCTCGGGCCCACCTGGGGGGAGGGCCCCGCGTCCGCCGCCCGCCCGCCCGCCCGCCCACGCGACGCGGGGCCCGGGGGACGGCGGCCCG